CTGCTGAACTTTATCCTTTCTTTTATGCATAGTTTGAATGTAGCCAGTGTGACAGATCATGTGAGCAGAAGTATACAGGGCTAAGACAGAAGTTTGTAATTTTGATTAAGAGTTTATAAGATCAAGATTAAACTTTATAAACTTAAGGTGTAAACAACACTGTTAGAAGTTACGGCTGAGAATATATACTGAATTCTAGACTGCTTTAGGAGAAGGAATTTGGTTTGCTATTTCTTTGCTGACCATATACTTCAATCCAAACTTTTTTCATTAGCTCTTTCTCACACGGCTAGCAGAGAGAGGTGCCTTTCTTTAGTTGCTTGATACCTGTGACAAGTAGCTCAGCAGTACTAGTTGCTTGCCCAGATCCATTGGTGGCTTGTACAGTGTATCTGCCACTGTTTGCTTCTGTCACGGTGGGGATCACCAGTTTAGCGCGGCCATCACTAAACGAGATCTGCACACCGGGCAGAGTTGCAGCAGAGAGAACCTGGCCATCCCGATACCAGCTCACCTCAGGAACTGGGAAACCTAAAGAAAAAGGAAGACAAAAGGAGATTAAGATGCTATGAAATGCCAGATAGCCAAAATTACCATAATACTCACTCACGTATACACACTTATAGTAGAGTGTAATGACATAGGCACAGACCTATGATTATATGTTCACTGACACAGTGGTAAAGGACTTTCTTTTTAGAAAGGTCTTTAAAATACAGAGAGCAATAGGACAACTGCAATGCTACTGCATTTAGGAAATCACTTGAATAATGAGTGGACTGTAGTGTTGGGCAATCCTGTTGAGGAATAAAAATTCATCAAAATTATGAGGGGGATGAATTGATGCATGTAAGGAGGTTTTTTTATTTATTTGCTAGTATCTAAGTGGTACTGCTTATTGCTAGTTTTTAGATTCCTAATGGAAGTTCTCTTCCAGTGTTCTACTCAGCCAACTTTATTGAGCAACTAAAAAACATTTGACAAACAGGTAAAATTTTTATATGAGCCACACGAGGAGAACAACTAATTTAAGGAGACAGTTCCAGCTCAAAGTCTTTTTTGTAGTCCTAGAACACCATTTCTCCAAAATGAAAACCCCTGCCAATTTACTTGATGTACTTCTCCTCTCAAGCCAAATCACCAATTGCACTGCACAGGGGCTCAGGAACGAGATCTGGGACTAGGCTTACTACGGCTGCTCTAATTTTCCCAGTTCCACTCTGTGGTTTGGAAAACTTCAGGACCACAGAATTCTGCCTCCTTTCTAGAGTATCCCTCCTATAAACTCATTTAATTATGTGGGGTTTTAATGTGCCAGGAATATGACTGTGTGAGACTAAAATGAAAGAGAAGCTGAGATATGTAGCTGAAGCTTTTACTGGTTGTCTGTAGTGACACCAGACTTGCTTAAGTTTTAAATTTTACTCGTAGTTGAAAGACTTATTTTTAGATATATGTAAAATAGAAACACACACACACAGAAAGAGAACGTGGCCAGTTTTAGAGAGGATTAGAAATCAAAAGGGTAAAAGTACATTTCAGCATTGTTAATTTCACAGCTGGCAATTATCAAACAGCCCTGATGGGGCTGGTATAATTCAATTTTGTACTACTGGTATAGGACAACTTGGGCATTATCACCAAAAAGATAGTGTATCCAGCAGATCCCACTGATTTCTTCCAGAGCTATGCATCTTCAACATTTGTGCAAATGGTTTCCAAAATGTGTGAAGCATGGCAAGCAAAAATCATGTTGTCAAAAGTGAATTTCTTGAAACATTGCCAAAATGTTTTATTTTCTCAGTGCAGCATCGTATGATGGTTCACAAACCTGGGGCTTGTGTGGTAGGTTGAAAAAGGCCTGCATTTAAAAAAATTGAGTCTATTTTGATAACTCAAACCAATATGTTCGAGGGATCCAAAAATAGCAGCCATTTTGAAAATCTGAGCGCAAATTCATATTAAAAGAAACTCAACTTCACAAATTTACTAGCACTCTTCTAGTCCCTTGCCACAGCGCTGGGGATTAAAAGGTAAGATCTGCCTCAGATTATAGATATTTTTGCCTGGACTATATGGAGTAGGGACTTACTTTTATATGTGCCAAATTACACTATGATTTCAATATTAATTATTAGGACATTCATTTTCATTTTAAAACTGTCCTTGAGTTTTTTTGAGCTTTATTGCCAACAAGAAGAAAATGAACCTGAAGTGCCTCAACTTCACTGCTTAAATAATTTAATTCAATGAGATTGCCCTGACAATGATGTGAGAGAAACTGTCAGCCTGTGTACAATCTATGTGCTGCTTTCAACAATATGCAGTGTAAAGGCTAGCTTGCATTAGGTAATACCTGAAAATACCAGTTCAAAGAAAGTTAAGCAGAGTACAGGTTAGTTCTTTATGAACAAATTCAATATTTGATCAGTACTGTGGAGACATGAGGATGGGCACCGTTCTAATGCCAGCAGCATGGCAGACTTTATTGACAGTGACATGCTGTCTCATGTTTCCTCAGTCATGCCGACCCAGTAGGGCTCCCCCTGTGATGATGTCCTAGCTGTTCTGGCATTTACTGCTTTTAATCACAGGGCTTGTGTGTTCTGCACTTTCTGAGCACAGGGGGAGGTACTGGCTATTTTTGTCTGATACCAAACCTTTGTAATGTGGCACTTAATTCACAGTCTGATACACCAGTACAATTCATTTGTTCTAGTTTACAGACTGCAACATTGCTTCTCAGGTGGTTGCTAAGCTCTTTTTGGTACTCTTAGATTAGCTGGGCTCTTCATGTCCAAATTGTAGCTCTGTATTAATACTTGACTTGTACACACAAGGGCAGTGTTATCAGAGATAAACAGAAAGTCTGAATTTCAAATTCACAATAATTCATGACAGATAGAAAGTGCGGACAATGTTGCAGAATAAAGCTATATGTAGTCCATTATTAATTAGTTCAAGAAATAAAACTTTCGTAATTTTTATGCTTTAGAAAAACTGAATGCCAAGCCACTGTCAGATCCGTCTATCTTGGTGGATGCTTTTGGGGCAGGAAAGATATTCCAGAATCCCACAATGTGAATAAAAGCTAACAAAAGGAGATTTTCTCAAATGATATTTGCAACTAAAATACAAGTATGATATATGCTATTAGAAAAACTCCTGTATCTTTTCTTAGTAAGAAATCAAGTTCCCCTCCCAAGTACTCCATGATATCACACAAATGAAAATAGCCAAAATCACGCATTGAGCCATAATATTAGCATCCTAACTTGTTCTGATGATATATTTATTTATTCATTATAATAAGTATTGTAATCATCAGTGGAAAGAAACTTTTCACAGAAAATTTATGGTGTACAGACAACAAGAGAAGGTCAGGGCAATTAACTGAAGAGTAGAGGGCCAAATAACAGAGTAAGGCATGAAAAAATATCTTGTATGTAGACTACGGGACATGTTCAAACACTTTGTGTCAACCTTGTGTGAGCCAGTGTTACCCAAAGGGACGAAGGGATGAACCACAGTGGACCATAGATGTCAGAGATCTTTATAGTTGGACAGATCATGCGTTTGCACCTGTCACAGAGCATCTGGGTAGTGTTTTACGGTATGTGGATCATCACATTGCTAATGCCTGTAAGACAATATAGCTCAATCAGCGGGAACACGTGTCATTTTTCCTTAGTCACTGCCAAGGTCAGAGGCACTCTTAGAACAGGGTGTTGGTTATCTGGTATAATTATCTCAGGGGTTTGCATGGGATTTTGCACAAGACAGGGTGTTTTAATAGTGTGTAGACTGGCAAAATGAAGTATCTTTTAAAATTATGTGGCATCTTTAAATTGCATCAACACCTTAAATTATATTAATCCAGCCTTGTACTAACATCATGATCACCAACACATCTACTGTCTCACAAACTAGGTTTTTCTATCCTTTTCAGTGGCCATGTCAATGAAGAAGTAGCGTATGCCTTGCCTTATGTACCTTGACTTCTCGTTCTGTCTGATCATCATCCAAACAGGATTACTCTCTCTGCACCCATATGAAGTTCCCTTATTAGCTCAGTATGCATTTTCATGTATATACTTTTAATGCTATTTCCCCCCAGTTTTGATGGTTCTAACGTAGATGAGTATTGGACACCAGTCTCATTGGCAGGATGATCGGCTATTGCCTGGGAAGCCTTGTATCTTTATGCAGTATGTTTGTAGATATCTGACAGCACCTCACGGTGCTGATCAATATCATATGAGGTGGATATATATTCACATTTCAGCACTGATAATTACTCATTCAGATCAGATTATGATCTACAAAAAGTGTTATCGTTGGTCTTAGCATAAACGTTACCAAAAATAATAATGAAAAGTAAGTCTTGCAAGAATGAATCAAAATCTTACCACTAATATGAGCCTCAAAGGTTGCGGCACTACCCTCCAATGCCACAACACTTTGTAATGGCTGCGTAAATGTTGGTGCTTTTGTCGTCATCTTTACAGGCACTCTGAAAGCAACAAAACCATAATTAGATATTCAAGGCAAAATTGTTATTATACACACATTCTTCTTGCTAGATTTTAGGAATATTTGTAATTAATTTAATAATTTACTCTTCTCAGTTTTAAATCACATTGACCTGGTGAAAAGTAGGTTTTTTAAAAGTTGTATAGCAAATTACTCTTAGGGCACACTTGTCTGAGTTGGATGTGAAACTGTTCTATTTAGTGAAGCTGTGATTTGGCATTACAAGTATGCAGCAGGAGACAAAGCTCTGCTTGACTCATTGCATGACCTTGTGCAGGTCAACTAGCCTCTATTTGTTCATTAGTCTCTTTTGTCTAAAGAGAAAATAATGTCCATGTAAAATTTTTTTAAAATTATTTGAAAATGCTTTGTTAGTACAAAGTATTTTCATTCTCCAATAGGAAGGCAACTAGGTCACTAAGTAGCAACTGAAAAAAATGTGAAGGTCTACAATCTATTTGGCTTTTAAAAATAAAAAAAAATGCCAGGAGGGTCTCTTTTAACAGCAGTCTGTTATTAATGAATAATTTCATTTTACACAGAAGCATATTGGCATTAAAGATGCAGATAAAATTCTACTCTTTCTTAGAGAGTATCTCAGTGGAATTTTGAATATGGGAAGACAGCCACCTTCGAAATGTGAGCTCAGATATAAGGTAGCCACTGACACTGATGGTTTGAACAACTGCAGATCCATGTGAAATCTGAAAGAAAAATAGTTTGCTTTCTCTTCCTATGCCACAAGATTCTACTTTTAAATAGCACACTGCCACTAGAAAAGCTTCTGTATCAGCAGTATTTTATATTTGCATGAACATGTTTATTCACTGATGTTGAATTGTGCATGTTTTTAAAATGTAGCTAGTATCTTCTTAATAGTATCATACATCTATTAAAGTTACAATTTTTCTCATTAGAAAATTCCCTTGAGAGCATTTCATTTCTTACTAAACAAGGATTAACCCCATAGTCTTTCAAGTCAATCTCACTCAAATATTTACTGTTGTTTACTCTGGCTTTTGTGTCTGATTTTGTGACAGTCCCAGGCTTAACTTAAAAGTTAATGAGAAAGTGAAGTTTCACTATGAGCCAAATCTATGCTATCTTTCACAGGGTGAAAATTCTTCGTGGCATGAGTCCCTTCATCAAAATCAGTGCCCGATGCCTACATACAATAAGAGCATAAGGGCAGAACTGGATACTGTATTGGGATCTTGTGCTGCTTTTTATTGCCTTTACTGGTTATCTGGGTACTTGTTCCATCTTGACAGAGGAACAGCCTTTTATCAAAACTTTTCAGCTTCAGGGGTGGGGGGAAATGAGTTCAAATCAGAAAAAAATGACCCACATTTCATCCTCACACAACACTAGTTTTCTGAAAGGAAGATGAAGACACATCTGTCACAGGTAATTCACTAAGATCTACTTCAGCTATAACTATGTTTTGAAGCTCATCTAAAATATATGGAAATAATCTTACAATATAACTAAACATTATGAAAGCTTATATATATTTATATATATGTAATTTCCTGACTCTACAATAGATTGGAAGTCATTTAATTAAGTGGAATTCTCACTGAGTTCACACAAAGTTTATATATTTCATTGTCTAGGTAAATTTCGGTGTCAAAGATCTGATCTTATAAGGCTTTTTGTATAATTAGAATTGAAAGTATGCATCTGAAAAGTCATGTTCCAGAAATAACCTTCCCAGCTATGAATGACAGCAGACAAGTGTTCCAGAGCTGCCATGTAATTGATACCTTAGCAGTTGATTCCCTTAAAAAGTCATCAGTGCTTAGCTGATACCATATGCATTTTATCAGAGCTATTCTTGGAGCTTCTCAGTTTATCTCTCAGTAGCATAACCTTGAACACTCCCAACAGAAAGGAGTTTTTAAGTTAAGCAGATGTTCCCATGCACTTTTCAAATCTTAATTTATATATTCTTTAACAATAAATACACTGGAAAAACTTTTTGCTGAGTGTTATCAAAACTTACTCCCAGAAATTTAAGACATAATCTTTCCAGAGAATTTAAGTGCTCCATATCTATACTCTGAAAACTATACCCCCCTGTGAGTACATTTATACATAATAGATCATATCAGGATTACTAATGACTGATAAAATACCCATTACACTAGCAGAAACATGCTACTAACCTGATCTCTCAAAGTGCCTGTAAGAGTGGGCTAAGCCCAACGAAATCTTCTTGAACGACGTCCTTATCCAGAGTAAGATTTTTTTAGACAATCCCAGCATGAGAATTGTAGAGCCTCTAATCTTAAAAACAAAACTACACAGTCTTGACAGTGTAGTTTTGTTTTTTTGCAATCCCTACACCCGAGGCGAGGCGGGGAATGCACGACTGCTCAGAAGCGCTAACATAGTTGTTTTGCTTTATATACCCCAGCTCTGCTGACAGGTCTGCCTCATCATGTCAGTGCCAGTTCTGATTGGTTTCCTGAAAGAAAGTATCTTGTGAGAGGGGATCCACTCTGTGTAACCATACACCACCTCTTGGTTTGACTGACATCACTAATTTTGGAAGCACAAAAGAGAATGACTGAGGAAACATCATCTGTTCCAAAGATTTTGATTTATAATTCAATTTCATTTATAATGTGCAGTTTACAAGCCATTGCAAATTTCCTAAGTCATAAGCACAGGACGAAGAAAGTAATAAAAAAGTTTCAGCAGAGGATACAGACAAGTCAGAAGTAGTCATATCAGTGAGATTCAGCCTTACTTTCTTGCATTATAAAACATCTAAGAAGCTACCAAATGCATCTGTCAATCACCAGACTAAGTAAGCTGAGCTCAGACATGTGGCTTCAGACTGTTAGAATACACTGTTTAAATTATTTTTTCCATAACTTTGAATTCAAAAATTGTATTTGGTAATGTATAGATATGGAACTCCAGGGTTTTTTTGTTTCCTTCACAATTTTGCTGTTGGACGTTCCAAGCAGTTAAGCTTAACAAACAATATCATATGATGTGCAGAAATATAAATTTTGCAAAAATAAATTAACAGAGACAACTACTGTAATTTCCAAAAAAGCAGATTTTAAGTCTAATGGCTTTTTTCTAGGCATGTGGAGAGATCACAGAGTTAATCATCCATGGAACAGCGTATTAGTCTGTGAACTTCCACTAGCCTGGCTTCATCAGTCTATGCAGCTAATTGTACCAATCACCTAAATTGGTTACCTCTGAAACAGAGGACAGTTAGAAGACTACTCTTGTCTGTAGCTGGAACAGGAGGTGTTTTGCCACAACACCACATCTGCCTGTTTTCATTGTTGCCTTCTTATTCAAAAATCCTTTTCTGTCCCTATAAAGTAGAATATATATAATGCATATATAGCAAACTCTTTAAGCACATAACTGGCTCGTAAGACTACTTATGTGTTTAAAGTCAAGCATGTGCTCAACTGTTTTGGTAAATGGAGGACTTCAGTCTGCTGTTACCAAGATCCACATTGGAAAGGATCCTCTGAGTACTTATGAGAGCTATCATTGTAGCAGGTTTGCTCCTGGTGAGGGAAGGAGGAGCCCAGCAGCTTCGTAGTATCAATTCCATCCCTCAACCAAAAGGCTCCAGTAGGTGCAGAATGCCAAATGTAAAGATAAAGGCAACTAGGGAAAGCAGTATAAAGGTCTCCAAGAAGATACACACAGAAGTAAACACAGGCTGGAGTTCTGTACTATCAGCTGCGCTTGTGTTTGAAAACAACCCGAAGGAAACCTCCAGCAGGAGCTCCACAAAATGCCAAGGAGAGACAATACTACCACTATGATTCCCGAGTATTACATTTTAGTTTGCAGAACTAAAAGAAACAAGAAAAGACACATTGTTGTGATCTCATAAAATAACTTCAGAAATATGATCTTCCCTTTAATTTATCGATCCCATAATGTGTCAACTTTGTGGCTACTCTTGGCACACAGCAGTAACAGCAGCAACAGAAACTAGAGGATTAGTCTCAAAAACTGGTACCATCTAGACACAACTTGAGGTTGAAAATCAGAGTACTATGCCTCATTTATAGCTTTTTGTTGCAAACAGATGTCAGAGAGCCTAATCTGTATAAGACTTAGTATGATAACCAATGAAACTCTGTGCATTAGTGGGGAGGACAGGTTAGCTTCTACCAAAAGACACAAAATGTCCAAAGAAATCTGTGTAAAGGGTAGCTAATTTCTGATTCTAAATAGAGACTTGTTAATTAGCAAATGGTTGTTTTTCTTTATAGTTGAACACTTAAATATTCAGTGAAAAATCAAACTTAGAGAAAGAACACTGGCTAGTATCTGCAAATTTAATAATCACAGCCAGCTTAATGATGTCGTCTAAGTCAAACAAACAATGTAACATTTTATGAACATGTGATAAATTCTAAATGACAGAAATGTGCAAACTGTCACTTTTGAAGTTAAGTGATGGTCAGAAGCTCAATTTTTTTCTATTTCGATCAAGTCAACAACAATTGATGGCAATAATAGAAAGTTACAAGGGAAAAAAATCGATGCATCCAAATACATAAACCAAATATATTGTATTTTAAAAATAAGTTAATTCCTTTTTTTTTTTTCTTCTTTGGAAATTTTACATTTGCTTTTGAACACTATTAAATCTATTTCCATTCCAACAAGAGTTTGTACCTTCTTAAGTTTTTACTTTTGCTGGTGAATTCAGAAATGAAATTGAACAGTGAAATATTTCTCTCATGCTCTCAAGGAAATGCAAATTAATTAAATTGCATGCCTTCTGTTAACAGAATGACTATCAGCCCAGTGTGATTTCTACATGTTTAGTGTCACAAAAGGAATGGTTACTTTGGCAGACCCACATCAAGATGCCAGTAAAGCTGAAGACTCTAGTCAGAGCTTAAACACAAATTCATTCTTTCTTGAACTCTGAAAGTTTCAAACTGCCACTTAGGCAAATTTCAATGTGCTTTTTTAAAGTGGAATTTTCTAATTATTTTTTTTTTAAATCACCTTTCCTTTTCTTCATTATTTGTCAAACAGTAGTAGTGTACTATGTGCTGTAGCTGCACAGCCAATATAGCATAAACTCTGCTTTCTTGCGTAGTCCCTTAATCAATCTACACATGCTAATTTGCAAACTGCCTAAAAAGAATTCCTTCCTATACAATGTCTGTCATATCTCCTTTCATATACTATTTTCATTTCACTCCGCCCCCCAACCAAATATGCAGAACCAAGGGAATCAGGAAATAAATAATTTGGTCAGTTTAAATAAAACTTCTCAAGGCTAAGATGCTTAAATCCTTATAGAACTGAGAAAACACAACCTGAAATGTATTTAGATATAGTATGCTTGCTGAATTTCCAGTTTTATAAAGTCTACTTTTGAAGAAAAAAAAAAAAAATTACCTTCCTTCCTCCCATCCACCTGCTTTCCTTAAACTTAGGAATAACTAAAAAATTCTTCTGTTAACTGTTAAATCATTAAATCCTGACCTGAAATCAAAACGCATGTCCACCACCTTCATCAACTCCCCCTGCAAATGCTATAAACAGTACTTTGTAATGACACCTTTAGAACCTTCGATAAAGGCTATAAAATGCATTATATTCACAACAATATCCATGTTTGTGTGCTGCAGCTGGCTTCTGAAAAGCTGCAGCGTTTTCCAATGCTAATGTCTCTTATCTGAACTATTGTAACTGATTATGCAAGATATATTAATCTTTTTCAATACAAACTAAAACTTGCTCACAGAAAATTGTTTTACTTGTTATCAAAGAAGGCACTGTCAGTTGCTCCCAAAGCAGAAAAGATAACTAAGGCACTAAGCAATTTTTGAAACTACTTTAGCTATTTCACACGTGAACAACTTACTGGGAACTGTGACTAGATTTGAATGAGTATGGAATAGTTATCAGAGTCCATATTCACTAACTTCATGTTGATAGTTGTCACTCATATCATCTCCTTGGAAACAGCTAAGGAGAAAAATTACAGACATCACTTTTCCCAAGTTTTCCTTGTATATTGTTTGTTTATATATCATCCACTCACAATTATATATGCGGAACAAGGAAGAAATAAAACCTTACTTACTCAGCATCTCACCTTAGAAAGCAAGGCCCTACTAACAAAACCTGAGACCCTGAGTAAAGAATATATTTACTAACTGTTCCACTTCCTTCCGCAAAATAATAATTAAAATCATAACACTGGGGAAAAACTTTAACTAACATTGAAATAGTGCTTAGAATTTAATAGATACATACATCCTGTTAAATTTTGCAGCCTTTTTAACAAATTCATGTCTATCTATGTTTTATAAAATGAAATGAACACACTTACCATGTTTCATAACGGATCCATTCCCTGAGAGCACTTGGAGCAATAGCTATGTTCCTCATTGGCAAAAGAAGGTTGCTGGGTTTTTTTTGTTTATTGATCTGTTTATAAAGGCCACTTTCTACTATTTTGTAAGAAAACCATTGGTAAGAACAGATATGCAGATTTCTGTTTTGCTGTATGTATTATTTAGAAAAGCATTAATACTTTTTTTTTTTTTAAGTAAAGTTGTGTTTTCTGCATCAAGGGGAAAGAAAGCCCACCTCAAATAATCAAGTTCAAGTTGTTCTTAAGGCTGACAGTCAAGAGGAAAAGCAAAAAGAACCCAATGCCTGAAATTTGCTGAGGAATCAAGATCTGAATTCTACTGAGTCCTATGCTTTCATTTTTACAGAATGTTTTTTTAAATAGGAAATCTTAATATGCTATACTTATGGATTCCACCTGATAAAAGAAAATACATTTTAGAAGGTTTAAAAATTTTTTGGGATGTCTGATATGTACTTTCTCAGTCCTCCGAATGTGATTGCAGTTAGAAACAATATTTTCTGTAAAATCTTTAAATCTAAACATGTGTAAAGGAGGGGCATAGTCATCAGAAAGGTATTTGCATAGGATTCGCAAGATGTTTGATATTTGTCTCCATTCCATTTGGGAAAAAACAGTTTGTGATAGATACAGGGTAAACAACCAAAGCAAGAACCTCAGTCCTCAGCTACTATATTTATGTGCACATATACACAGCCTTGTGACTTTTCTGTGGGCAGGATGCCATTGACTTTTCTGTAACATCAAGGAAGTGATTAATGCGATCAGGTGAAGACATGTACATGATATTGTTTTTCAGCTCATTTCCTCTCTATGCCTCTACTTTACTTTATAGATAAATTTAAGTTTCTACCAGCCAACCTGCATCTTTTTGGAGACAAATGTCTAATGTTTAATATTATGATTTAAGCAACTCTGAAAATGATCTTTCAGTCCTAATTTTGCACAGATGACATCTACCTGGATAAAACAAAAAGATACTG